GGGTAGGCTAAATTGACGCGGTACAGGTGAATTGGGTAAGCTAAATTGTCCATAGTGTATGAGTGTGTGTGAGTGTGTGTGTGGATGTTTCCCAGAGATGGGTTGCAGCTGGAAGGGCATCCGCTGCATAAAAACTTGCTGGATAAGTTGGCGGTTCATTCCGCTGTGGCGACCCCGAATTAATAAAGGGACTAAGCCGACAAGAAAATGAATGAATGAATGAATGTTGAAGTCAGAATTATTAGCCCCCTGAATTATTCGCCCCCCTGTTTATTTTTTCCCCAATTTTTAACACATTTCTAAACATAGTAATTTTGATAACTTATTTCTAATATATTTCTAATATAATTTGTAATATTTTTCAAGACACTTCTATACAGCTTTAAGTGACATTTAAAAGCTTAACTAGGTTAATTAGGTTAAATAGGCAGGTTAGGGTAATTAGGCAAGCTATTGTATAATAATAATTTGTTCTGTAGACAGACGAAAAAAAAAAGCTTGAGGGGGCTAATAATTTTGACCTTAAAATGATTTATAAAAATACAAAACTGCTTTTATTCTAGCCGAAATAAAACGAATAAGACTTTCCCCAGAAAAAAAAAAATTATCAGACAAACCGTGAAAGTGTCCTTGCTCTGTTAAACATCATTTGGGAAATATAAAAATAATAATAATAATCAAAGGGGGGCTAATAATTCTGACTTCAACAGTATACAGTAAAATACACTTAAAAATATGATTCAAAAACACTATAGCATTTGCTAATTTTTTTTATTTTTTTTAGTGAGATTTCATTTTTCTTCCTGAGGGTCTTTTACTGACCCTCAGCACAGTGGCTGTTTCTCAATTCCAAGAACGTAGAGAACGAACATGCGTTCTTGTGGAGAACGGTCTTGCCAGGTGTCCTCGGAAGAAAGAACTTTGGAGACCACAAGAACAGAGAATGCATCCTGTGAGGAATGAGATGCTGCATTCTTCCTGATAGTCACGTGACCTTCACGTGTTTTTAATGAATAATTTAAATATTACAGCATTCATACAACGACTTATTGTTTTTCCCCTTTTCAATATATGTGCTACACATAAAGACTTTACAAATATACATTGCACAATATAAACAAAACAGATTTTAATACGAATTTCATCAAAGAAACACCCTTAATGTGTTTATTCCTTTATTAAGATGTCTATGGTGACGTTTATATTTATCATCTCATTTAGGGAAACTCCTCAGGTAAATAAGTGATATCTCTGAACTTTAATTATAAATCTAAATAAAATGCTGCGCTTCCCACCTCCAGTCGCAATGACTTCTGTGTCTTCTAGCACAAGTTCGGTGCTCAATTCTGCATTGGTGCGTCCTCGATATCAAGAACACATGCGGGAAGTTTCACGCGTTCTCTGTTCTTGTGGTCTTGAGTATTGAAACTTTGGCAGCTGATGATGACGTTACACGAGAACACGAGGACGCAAGGCCGCTGAAGAACGCATATTGAGAAACAGCCAGTGACTTTTCTCTTCGGTGGGACATACATCTTAAAATTGTAAAATAGAACAAACCTTCATTGCTCCTGATGATACATTAAGGTATTATGAAGCAAATCAATTGGTCTGTGCAAGAAACTGAACAATGCTTACAACATTATTATATACCGTCTTACAATAAAAACTCACACAGAAGCAACAGAAGAAAAAAAATCTGACTATTAAAAGTGTCATATCAGTTGTATTGTATCTAACCATTCATTATTTTCCTTCAGATTAGCCCCTTTATTTATCAGTGGCCACCACAGTGGAATGAACCGCCAATTTTATCCAGCATATGTTTTGTGCAGCAGATGCCCTTCCAGCCACAACCCAGCTCCAGGAGCACCCGGAAGGCACCACGCCAACATGAGGAGAACATGCGAATTCCACACAGCCCAGCTGAGACCTTGCTGTGAGGCGACAGCGCTGACCATGAGCCACACTAACTCTAACCCTAAGTCAGATCATCAGCAACTTTCCATCAAAGTATTATCATATTACAAGGCTACACTTACAGTACATGCTGTTACAAGCACTGACAAAACAAATGTACAAATTGTACGAAAGGAGATTCTACTTGCATACAGTAATATCTGTCAAACACATCACTCTTCAAGTAACTATAGATCAAGAGGGATATCCTCTCATATGAACAACAACAACTGATATGGGATATTAGAAATAAGCATGTACATTCAACCGTACAGCACTGCAAGATAGTCCTATTTATACGAGCACACTTCTGACTTACATCTATAACAATTTCAACCGAAAGAATGCCAGTCATAATTTGCCACAGCCCTTCACAGACAGCTTTGATAGACACTTATGAAATGCCTGCATCCGTTCAAGTGTTTAAACTCTACTTCACCTAGTCGTACAAAGACCAAAATACAAGCTAGTGACTTTGAAATGTGAGCTTCTTTCAAAATGATGAATGATTTTATCCTGAAACAGTTCCTTTGCTTTCAGCGAAGCCCTCAATTTCACATGTAATTGTTCTACTATCGTTCTAAATCCCTCTTATTGACATGGTGGAAGATTTAGAGCGGAAAAAAAATACGCGCTTATGATTGTTAAACGCTCTTGTGATGAAGCCTACGATCATTGAATTTCACAGAGAAGGCTTCAGTCGAGACGTCGGGAATTTGTGACGGTGGCTTTATTCGATTAGCTGCGCTCACACGCTTAGTTGCTATAAGACTAGAGATCTCTTTAAAAATCGAGGGCTTGTTTCTCGTATTGAAATTGGATTATCAACTGGAACAGAATCATGCTTTTCTACAATTATGCAGCGTGCAATAAACAGATGTGAACAATCATACGCGAGAATAATTGACAGCCATAAACGCTAATCCCGAAGAATCAATAAAGTTTAAAAGCAATCAGATAGGCAGTCTTAGAGAAATCGATCAGTGTTTGTAGTGAGTGGGTAATGTGTTTCCCTGAGAGAAAAGCAGCTAATCACAGCAGAGAAAGACTGGGTTGATTCAGAAGTGCAATGCTAACGCAATGCATAATGGGATAGCCCTATATGATGTTCAATGAGAATGCATGATTATAAAGAATAATATGAAATATTAATTCTACAGTATATAAAGGAAGACCCGGTTTCTTGTATAGTGATGCTTTCTTCTTTCACAAATCATGAGACTATAAGCAAAGCCTGTACAGTTTATAACCTATATTTACTGTATGCTTTAATGGAATTTCGGGAGATGGCAGTGAGTATGGTTTTAGTTAAATTTGAAATGGCATACTACTATAGTATTTTCTAAATGTTTAGAATATTTTAATTTTAAACTTGGGAGAAAAGCCATCCTTAGCTTACACAGGACTCAACATCAACCTTTTTGCTTGGTAGCATGGGTGCTCCAAACCTAAAAATGTAGGCGCACTAGCCAAAATTTCGACGCACCTGCCAAAAAATTATGAGCACCGTTACTACAAGTTTCATATTAACATATTTATTGTGTTTGAAATCAACACTAATCAAAAATAGCAAACACGCACTGCTTGACGTAAATGAGTTGAACTGAGTTAACGAACTTTGCTGTACACGGGTGGTGTCTAATATTGCACAGATGATATTATGTAACCATTTATTCTTGAATGCATGCTCTTTTGCGATGGTGAATGCGATGCCAGTCGCTAGACTGACAGCATACTGATGATTAAATGAAGGATTAAATAACGTTAGAACATATTGTGATTAAAATGTGTAAATGTGGCCAGAGGCGGGTAGAGTATCCAAATTATATACTCAAGTAAAAGTACAAGTACTAGCAGAAATTTTTATTCGAGTAAAAGCAACAATTTTTAAAGTTACTCGTGTAAGAGTAACATATCTGATAAAAAGAATTACTTAAGTAAATAGTTACTAGTTACTTTTCATTATATATATATACATTATATATACACACAAATTTCTATTCTGTGTTATTGCCGTGTCTTTAATATAATGTAATTATGCTAGGGGTCACAATCCAATAGAACTAGTAACTATACGCTACTATAGTAAAATTATACAGTAGTATATAGTAATTATAAACTATTATTTTTTTCGTTTCTGTAGGTTATGGTTAAAATATGGTTATTCTTATGGTTTAATAAAAAATAAATATATTTTTTTAAATCACCAGGCGAGCCCCCTTCATTGTCCCGCAACCCCTTGGGGGTCAAATAATAATCAATAATAATATTCAAATCATTAACTACAAATAATAAAATGATATAATGATAATTATATAAATGGCTAATGATTAATTGCTTAAATAAAATAAATAAAGGAAGAATAAATTAATATAAACAAATGAAAATAAAACACAACACAAATGAATGGTTGCTTTCTTGAAGTTTGCTACAAGGATTCTCAGATCCTTAGTTAGATTCTTTAATACCTTATCTGAAAGCTAAAATAAATAAGCCAATAGGAATTATAACTATTTAAAAATATGACATATGAGGGCTAAACACAAATCAAAATATTGAGAAAAAAGGGTCCAAATTAAATTCTTAGAGATGCATATTACAAATTATTTTTATATATTTACAGAAGAAAAAGTACAAAATATATTTGCTAAATATTCTAATAAAATTTGGCATAAAAGCACTAATTTTGACCTATATAATGTATTTTTCCCTTTTTTTTAAATAAATAAATAAATAAAACTGACTGTATTGTCCACTCTGAAAACAAAATGACTCTGAAATGGAAGTGTAACTGGTTGCAAAAATTTATATGGGCTGAGTTTAAACAAACTAATGAAATTCAGTAATGTTCAACCTAATTTGTGTTTAAATTCAGCCCATATTAACTGTTTGTAACCACTTACCTTAAAAAAATTAATAAATCCAATGAATCATCTTTTTTAATGCAGGGTCAAACATATAAAAAGTTCCATTTGCACAGCAAACACACACTTAAATACAGAATAATGTGTATATTCGTATAGATCAATATTGCAACTCACATTTGTACCCAGCTGGAAACCAAGTTCACATAAAGGCCACTTTAAGGGTCATGGTGAAGCTTCATTTGACCACAGTAACAAGGAGCGAATCCCTAGCAAGGTCACTGCTGAGCTCTCACCTACCCCGTGAAGTGTGAGGTCAGACAGCAATGATGCGTCACAAAGTGGCGTTTATAGAGGAGCCTGACACCTCTCCCTCCTCATCCTGACCACTTCTCCTTTCCATCTGCCTCCTCGTCTGTCTTTATCAATTTTACGGCGAGAGTGAGAGCAGGAGATGTATTTGTCGGTTGACTCTTGACCCTTGCCCAGGTCACCGGTGACGTTTTCAGCAGGAGGTCTGGCCTGCCTTATCACACATTCTCCTTAGACACACTCCACGTCAAGGCCGTTCTGATGGAGGCAAAAGCCAGACACCACTTTAAATTTCATAAGCCCCGGACACATGATTTGGGTGGGGGAAGAAAGATAACAGGCCGAGCCGCCCATCCACTTGCTGGCCTGCTCTCGCTCTGGCTTTCTCTCCTGTCATTCATTACCGGCAGATTTCTGCGAGCCTTCAGTGAGTTGGTAATTTGATAAATGGGCCAGTCCTGCTCTCATGGTTATCACTTGAACAATCAAACAAGCCGGTTATTGTATTTCAAAACACCGAAAAAGACCTTCAACCCAAAATGGCCCAGGAAATATGCTGTGCTGTCAGAGTCGTCTCGACAAAGAAAAAAAAGTCCACCTGAATGAGAGCTGTTTCTGATTAGAAAGAAACTTATATGATGGGAAAGCCTGCTATAGTGAGCTCATGTCCAAAGCTAACAGTAAAAAAAATCTAATGCATATGAAATATATGAAATATTATCTATAAACTCATCTATATATATGTATGCATATGTTCGAGAGAGAGAAAGCAATCAAATGAGATGCTTTCCAAAATTACTAGAGGTGTAACGCATCACTGTTGATCCGTGATTTGTACGAATCCCATATTATGGTTTGGAACACACGTGGCCCACAAATGAATACTTTTTTGCTGGTAGATTAATCCTAAATTTGTAACAATCACAGAGAGATCAACTCTTGTGTCATTCAAATCACATGTATGAAAGCATTTAGGCTTTCCTGTCAAATATAATGACGAAAGAAGTAGTGGTAGGTTATTCGGGATGTGGTGGGTTTCTTTAAAGAAGTTTTCTTTCACTGCTTTTTTAGCCTGCATTAATACATTCAGTGTATGCTCCACGATTAATCATTAAAAGATTGGGATCTCAACACCCACGCAATAAATTATAAATGATGGTGATTTTCAAATCTTTATTTGTCCTTTGAATTGCTGCATTCAAATCTGTGTTTGAAAAAGCTAAAAATCAAGAAACAGATTGAGTCTTTAGTCTTTTGAGGTAGTAATCAAGTTACAAACAGTAAAATAACACAGAAGTACTGAGATAACAGTTCATAGTTTAGATATAAGCACTGATGTTTATGGTAAAGATTAAAATCACCATCATATGCATTTAACGGCACTCAAAAATGAAAGTTGTAGGCAGCAATTACATTATTTAACCAATAGGTGGCAACAACCAGCCATCAAAAATATGCCACTGAATATTTTGAGACAGTCCTTGCTGCAGCCTCGCAGCTTGATGACATAGTTGACCATGTCCGCTATGTAGTTGACCATCGCCTACACTTCCCCCTACCCTAAACCGTCGCAGTAGCATGGGCGCCACCTTAGTGGCCGGTACATGGTCCGCTGCGAGCTGCAGCAAGGACATCTTGAATAATTCTTCAAAAATGATTCATCTAGCAATGAAACGTGAAGTTTTATAAGTGAATAACTGAATCAATTATTAAAAATGAGACTAAACATAAATGTGGGTTGTACAATGTTAGATTTATACATTTAGCGTTATCAGCAACAGCAGCAGTAACAGTGAATTTTTCACATTACTGAATATTTTACAATTTATTTTATATTAAATTACAGGTTTTAAGTTCTGTTTGTTAAACCAAGTGTCTTACTGTAATGTTTTTGTAATAAATGGAAAGCAAATGGCATTTGTCTTCTCCCTTTTTTGGCTGATCCGAAAAATGGTCCGATCCATGACTTAAAAATCATAACGTGATACGAACCGTGAGATTTGTGATCCGTTACATGACTAATGATAACACTGTTTTATAGTTTAATATATTTATTTATTTACACTGTAAAAAAATGGTTGGTTTCACACAATTTCTTCATGTTGTCCCAACACTAATCAATTCATTTCACCTAATTGCTTTTACAATTTTAAGTGGATTGAACATAAAACAATTAATTTGTGGCAAACAACTTGAGAATTGTGTTGATTCAGCTCATTTTTTAGTAGTTTGAACATGCAGCAAAAATAGTTTTTGAGTGTGCTAACTAGCTAGCTAACTAACTAACTTCTTTAAGTGCCTTGCAATTTATTGCTTATCTTTTATGAGATAAATAAAGCATATCCATTTCATTACACTTGAATTTACATTTACATTTAGTCATTTAGCAGACGCTTTTATCCAAAGCGACTTACAAATGAGGACAAGGAAGCAATTTACACAACTAAGAGCAACAATGAATAAGTACTAAAGGCAAGTTTCAGGTCTGTAAAGTCTAAGAAGGGGAAGTGTTAGTAGTTTTTTTTTTTTTTTTTTTTTTTTGTACAATTAGTGTGATATTCAAAGAGGCAATTGCAGCTTAGGAAGTGAAGTGGAGACTAAATAGTTGAGTTTTTAGTCGTTTCTTGAAAATAGCGAGTGACTCTGCTGTTCTGATGCAGTTAGGGAGTTCATTCCACCAACTGGGCAGATTGAGCGTGAGCGTTCGCGAAAGTGATTTTTTCCCTCTTTGGGATGGAACCACGAGGCGACGTTCATTCACAGAACGCAATTCTAAACAGTTAAATGAATACTACAAAACACATATTCAAAAGTACGTAGATGGGCCACAAATAAAACAAGAATGAACAAAAATGTATGAAACACACATAAAAATAGCATTGCTACTATCTATATTACTATGCCAAATTACAATGGCACTAACTGTAAACACTGTTTATATGCTCAACAAAAGAAGTTCATCTTTACTTGTTGTCTTAAATATAACATAGTATTGGCCACTGGCCACCGCTTAACGATATAGCAAAATCTCTACTGGCTGATAAAACATCAAGCTGCGCCATATTGTGCGATGCACATTTTACCATACAGTGTGTTTATAATTCCAACTGCCTCGTGTGCGTCTCTCCCTCATATGTTCAGAGAGAGTGAGAGAGACGGATAATCACGTCTGGCTACACATTTTAATCAGTTCGCCCAATCAAAGAGATAATTGGATTGCATTGCCTGATTGCAAGACTCGCTGAAATTGGATCGCAAATAAATTGCCTCAAACTTGTGGAAAAAAGGGGAGGATTGGAAAACAAAGAGCCTTCTCCATAAACAAAGGGGTCTCACATGCACAAACATCCATTACCAAGTCTAACCGATCCCCTCGTCCGAAAGCCAAACTATTAGGTTGCACTTTTCTCTCTGGCCGAAGCCTTCACCTGACACAGATCCAAAGCAGCTCAGTAGACAATTAAAGGATCTGTGCTGAGCCAGTAATGACCTACTAACCCTATCCCGAGCCGATCCCCCCTGTCCGGCCCTCCCGGGACTGGCCCTGTCACAAAGTTATCAATGGCTTCCTTTCCAGCGCTGGAAATAAGCGAGAACGTATGGACTCCGGACCGACCGTAGGCTCTCCTCTCCACTGCAGGCTAAGAGAGAGCCGCTCCAGATTTATATGTTTATACCGCATTAAAGTCAAGCCACCGGGCTAGACGACAGCGGCGCTCGGTAATAAAGAGAGCGTGGGCGTGCACGCGCGAGCATCCGAAATCCATCAACCTGTACCAAACAATAACAGCCGCAGCTCGGCCCCTCTGTCATCAGAGCTAATAAACTCGGCAGCACTCATTAGAGTGAACAAGACACACATTAGAACGGCATTATGTTCTGGGCAATGCACTATATTAATTTCACCACCATAATGTGTGTTTTATTGCATCCAATAAGCATTTTTAATAAGCAAAGTGATAAGTGCTTCCCTTGTAAAACATCGCCAATTAGAGCGGCGTCTCCAAATGCTCTCGCTCAACAAAGTTAGCAGTACAGCACGGGCTAATGACCGCCCGCGCAACAACTTGGAGAGACAAAAGAAACTCAACGCGAGTAAATAGACACAAATATACAGCCCCGCTCCAGAGAGAACAAAGCTGAGCGAAATTGCATTTTACATCATCGAGAGCGCGCGGAACGTGAAACTAATACGTGGCGGCCACCGTTCAGATAAGGAGACAAAGAGGGGGAAAGCGCATGCTTTCTTTTTCCATGACAATTTGGAGATCTTGTAGGAGGCTTAATTGTGTAATTGGGTGTCTCAGCTGGCTGGTGCTTCCCCCGGCAAAGCCAGGCGGTGCGGCATCACTTTAATTAGCAGAGGCAGACAAAGGGGTGATCTCTAAACACAAATAAACGGCGCACACCTAAGAACCATCGGAGAGGGGCCTTTGGTTGGAAAAAACTTTGCTTTTTTCCCCTTTCAAATGACTTGGTCTACTGTGGGTTGTTATTCTTACAACTGCATGACAGCTTATTTTAATGGATGTTATGATGTCGCGGGGCAAAGCGCGTAGTCTGGCCCGGCCTGCCGCTAATGAGACGGTGAGATGGTTCTCCTGCTGTTATCGTTACCAGCGCTGGCAGAAAGAGGGGCTCATCTTTAATCTCAGCCCCCTGTCCTTTGGGTCCAATGTTAAGGCATCTCCAAAATCATAACATACTAATTAATTTTATTTTTCAGGAGGGTTTCAATAAGCACGCCTGCCGCAGTACTTTGTGTGACTTACAAACACTGTTTGCTTTCAGAGAAGGGCAGCTAATTGCTTCCCGGCTTGACATCATTATATGGCTATGCGAGGGGATGTAGACTGTTTAATTAAGGTTGGATGCAAGTTCATTATTAGATTCACACAGAGTCTGTGTGCACAGGCTTCTTTCCTGCGAAGCCCCCACTGTAATTTAATACAAAGGGCCTTTTGATTTGCAGTTTTATTTTATTTTTCCAATATGCAGCGAGCCCCCC